TTTTTTTTTTTTCAATAACTTGTTTAACAACCGCACTGCTTGAGGTACATACATTAAGGATATTCGAGCCTGATCGACTTGTCGATTGCAATTTTTTTAGCTACCCTGAAGATGCAATAGTTGAGGTATAACAAAAAAAAGAAAACATATGGATATCTATACATATATAGGATACATATCTATACATATATAGGATACATATCTTAAATCAAAAACATATAGCGTAGAATAACAGTTTATTTTCTATCTGGAAACTTGCGATTTCTGGAACTGGATGCGGCGGCGTCGCGACGTGGAAACTCCTCCAGCTGCATGCAAAAGTATGGAAGAGAAAAAGAGAGTGAGAGGGAGAGAAAGAAGTAATGTAAGTTTTATAGCAGTAAGAGCTTAGCCTGTTAAGAGACTAACACGATTGCAATGCTAGCAAAACGAGAGAGAACACGAGAGTGAGAGAGAGAGAGACGGATAGCATAAGCTAGTCAAGCTTAGTGCTTACAGCTTAGATAATGCTGCAGCAGAAGAGAGTGCTTGCGCTCAGCACACATACATATAACTGTTAGCTAAAGAGAGTTGAACACAGAGAGCGAATGCCATTAGCAACAGTTAACAAGAGTTGAATGAACTGCTTAGAGAGTGCTCAGGCAAGTGAATCGTAATCCAGGAGTGCGTAAATCGACTCACGACAGTGGAGTGTGCTTGGAGAGTAAAGTCTTGTGCGCCGTTGATTGGGGCGGCTCAATCATTCCAATCTCAATTAGCTGCGGATGTTCATGAACGTTAAATTTAAACCAATCAGACGGTCATGAACGATTCGTTTTGGAGAATCAATGGCTCATGATTTATTGAATCACTGTGCGAAGAGTAACGTCCGCGAAGGACTGAATGTACAGTTCATGAACCAGTGAGTCGCTCAATATCAATTCAATATAGATCTCTCTTTAATTGAACACTGAATAAGTTCAATGAAACTTTCTTTAATATGAGAAGCTGAAACTTAAACGGTGACAGCTATTTGCTACGTCCTGGAGAGGAGCTCTGGCAAGACGACGTATGGAAGTTGTTAGATTAGTCATGTGAACAAGGAGATAGTTTAGAGCTTTCACAACATGCTCCCACGTTCTTATAAAGCGAGGTCCAGTAATTTCCAACTTTCATCAATAGCTTAATGGCAGTCGAGAGCGCTCTGGGATAGTTTAGGGTCTAGACCGACAGTGATAGTCATGCCAAGTAAAATATCTTCATTGCCTTTCCAATTCATCTCGAATGGAATCCTTCCTGAGTGATTCGAGACGGCATAGGATTTCGGACAACATGTCGTGTGATGCTTCCTAAGGCCTTGCAAAGCACATGTCGTGGGGGTCTTTCCATGTACTTCCAAAACGAAATGGGGGAGAGCTCCAATCAGTTTCAATGTCTTATGCAATTGCAATCGTGAGAGCTCTGTTGAATCCAATTCAATTTCTCCTACTTACCCTTTGACCTGTGTTTTTGTTGACGTGACGCGCTGGTGGGGGCAGCGGCTCATTTGCGTAGACTCTGCAATGGTTTGAAATGTCCATTAGGGAATAGCACCAACCCTAGCTAAGAGTTCAGCCAGTTACCTGGTCTCCGTTTGCGCCTCCGGCTCGAGCAGGGGCAGTGTGTCCTCGCCCTGCTGCAGTAGCTCCACCGAAGCCAGCGAATCACTGCCCGTGCCTGTGCCCGTGCCGGTGCCCGTACCCGTACCCGTACTGGTATCCTTGTCCTTGTCGGCTGTGGTGCTAGAGGTGATCGCTGTGGCCGCTGAGGACTCGCCACGCTCCGCCTCGTGGCACTCGCACTGGCAATCCTCGGGCTTGACGTAGTTGTAGTGCAGCTTGTCGCCGGAGCTAGCATCCGGTCGCTGATGGTGATGCTGATGGTGATGGGTGTGAGCGTGGCCATGGTGATGCCCAGAGCTGCCCCGATGTGCCCCGGTGCACACTCCGGCCGAGGAGGCGCTCTTGATGGCCGTCGTCGTGGTGGTGGTTATTGTCTCCTTCGGCAGCGTGGTGATCCGCTTGGCCGGTTTCCGCTTCTCGGGTATGTTTTCAAAGTCTATCCAATGGCCGGACAGTTTGCGCTGTGTGGATGCCTTCGGCTTGGGCTCCTCCAGGCTGGCAGGCGTCTGGCCCGTCGCTGCGGGCTGTGGAAGCGGAGGAGCTGCAGGTGGAGGCGGCAGCAGCTGCTTGCTGGAATCCTTGCGCTCCAGATTGTTGGCACGCAGCCCCTCCTCGGCGAACTCGAACCAAGACTTGCCGCTGGCATTGGAGATGCGGCGCGGCGACTTGCTGCTCTGCGTCTTGTCCTTGATGGTGGGCTCCTTGCGCGGCAGACTAATGCGCAGCTTCTCGCCACGCACGAGCCCGCCCGTGTCCAGCTCGAGCGGCGACTCCTGCGGCGTCATAATGCCCACGCCCGTGCAGTACTCCTCGAGATGTGAGGGATTCAGTGGGGTGGTCGAGCGTGGCCGGTCCACGGGACATGTCTTCAGCTCCATGTTGGCGCGCTCCTTCATTGGGATGAGCGGCACGCCCTGGGCCCGCTCCTCGGGCAGCGTTGTGGGCACATACGGAAGCTCGTCGTCAAAGGACTCCTGGGACACCAGACCGGTGCTCTCGTGCTCCTCGATCAAGCACACGTTGCGCGGAAAATGATGACGCTTCGCATCCATGCCCATGGGCACGGCCGTCGTCAGCGACGAGCTGCCCGCCAAGTCCGAGTCGCGTTCGCTCTCCGACGACTCGATCGGCTCGTGTTCGTCCGTCGAGTGGCGCTCCGAGCGCTCGTCGTGCATGGGCGTGAGCGACACCGCCTCCAGCTGCTGCAGCTCTGCATTGCGTTTGACTCCCATTACTGGCATTACCGGCTCGGGCTCTGGCTGGGGTTGGGGCTGGGGCTGGGGCTGGGGCTCCGGCTCCGGCTCCTGCAATGCTACGCCGATTGCTAAAAAAGCGGAATACACAGAATCGGTATTAGATAGCACTTGAACGTACGACATAGCTCTGCCTAGAATCTTTCTATGATTTTCCAAGCTGACATAAATTTAACTATTTATTGGATTTTATTTTATTTATTTATTTATTTATTTTTTATTTTTATTTTCATTTTATTCACTTATTTAAAGATTTTGCGTATTATGGTTGCTAATAATATGAATAATTCTTGAACAATTGCCAGTACAGTGAGCACTCGGTAATGGAATAAAAATGAGCGGGGTAAATATATACTGTATATACTAAGTATATATACATATACATATACATATACATATACATATACATATATGTACATATATAAACTATTTATGCAAACATTTCAATGAATTCTAAGTAATGAGAGCTGCATTTGAAATTGAAAGAGCGGCAAACGGTGTTGTTGTAGCAAGGGCCCTCGTCCCCCTGCTCACCGCCTTCTGTGCATTTCCTGCAGCTGAGTAAATGATGAATAAGGGCATTGTTAGGCTGAAACCCGAAACGCGCAATTGTACTTTGTCTTGCTGATTCCACCAACGGAGAAGCCCTATGTTGCAATGGTAATACTGCGGACCTTGGCTCAGGATACAATTTATATGCGCTTAACGGGTGAACTTGTATATAATATAGGACAGTTTAAAGCTAGAACTTTAAGATGTGGCTAGTGGATTACTGCAAAGGACAGACCCAATTATTTTGTAGGTCTTACGCATTTCCCTTGAGCTGTATTTCCTATCAAGTTTATATACTTTTTTGTAGGGGATTTGCTTTTGTTTTTTCCCCTAAATATATTATTTCTTGTACATTTATTTAATTTTTATACCCTGAACCCATTGAAAATGAGAAATTATGGTATAATGGTTTTGTTAAAATTATGTAACAGGCAGAAGGAGGCGTGGCAGACCCCACAAAGTATATATATTCTTGATCAGGGCGACGAGCTGAGTCGATTTGGCTCTGTCCGTCTGTCTGTCCGTCCGTCCGTCCGTCCGTCCGTATGTATGAACGCGTCGATCTCAGAAGATAGAAGAGCTAGAGACTTGAAATTTTTTCCTAGGTCCGTGTATATCACGCGCATATCAAGTTTTTCTCTATATATCGATAACTACTCCCGATATTTTATTATCGATTAAAACCCTTATCGAAAGCTAGTTATTTAATTCAACAACTGATCTTAAACTGTTTTATGGATAAAGTTTCCGACAAAGCTCTCTGATCAAAGAAGATCTATATAAGAATCTCAGCCTAGTTTATGGCTAAGAGTTAATAAAATCTACTCCTAAATGTCTTCTAGTCTCTCAAGTAACTGATCAATGCGATTTTATATACATTATAATCCGGTTATAACGACTTCGTTTATAGCGTCCGTACGATTACTGCGACGTAAATTCTGCTCCCCCGTCAAACTTATGTTTATGAACAGATGTACATATATGGCTATACGGACTTCCGGATAAAACGACGATCTCTTGGGCGTCGTTATAATCGGTTTCTAAATAATAGAATAATAGTATAGCCTGGTACAACGATATCTATATTTAATATTAGCCTATTTCACCTGACTGCATTCACCCACCTGTGTGGCTATATACTATATACTATTTAATATATAGTTTATACAGTTCGGTTTAGTTAAGTATAGTTCAGTTTAGTTCAGCTTAGCTTCTTGGATACTAACGTTTTGATTCCGGTATGCTCTGGCGCTTGGGCTTGCGTGGCACCGTCCCAGTCGCCGGCTCAGACACAGCTTCCGGCACGGTCTCAGTCACGTTCTCGTGATACTTTTTGCGCACATCGAAGCTCTCCAGGTAGCGCGAATGGCGGACATCGGCGGCCGGTGGTGCAGCGGGCGGTGCTGTGGCAGCTGTTGTGGCTTCCTCCTCGGAGTTGGAGCAGGACTTGTGCTTGGAGCGCATGACGACGGCGCTGCTGACCACCATGGTGGCACCCGTTGCGTGTTGCTCCTCCTCGGAGCTGGAGCGTGCCGTCGGCTGTGGAACGGAGGCGGGTGCGGGTGCGGGTGCGTCGACACGCCGTATGACCGTGCCCTGGCGCTGAAGTCCATCGGTGGTGCAGTCGGAGGCCGTGGTTGAGTTGGAGTCGGGCAGCTGGACCTGCTCGGACAGTTGGCTGGACTGGCTCTCGGTCTTCGAGATGCTGAACTGTGTGGAGAACAGCTGCTCCTGGCTGCCCGAGCCCAAACGGGTCGCGAACAGCAGACGGCGTCGCTCCTTGGCCGCGGCATCCTCCACGGGCGCATTGACCGTGGCCACGGTATGCACTAGGCGCGGCTCGCAGGCGCTCTGCGTGCTGTCCACCGAGGGCAGGCGCTGCATCTCGGCCAGCCCATTCTCGCGCACCACCTCGACGACCGCGTGCTCCGTGATCTGGCCGAGATTGGCTTGCGGCTCCGGCACGACGTGACGTGGCTGTTCGCTGTTCCAGGCGCGCTGCTCCCGCGGCAGCTCCTCCTGCGCCGGCAGCGTCTGTATGGCATCCAGATCGGCGCGCGGCTGACTCGCCTTGCGCTGACCCACTGGACGCAGTGCGGCAGCTGCTGCGGCCAGCTGGCTGGCAGTGATCGGAGCGCCGGCTCCAGCAGGCGCAGGCACATTCGCCGCCTTCGCTGCGCTGCTCGCACTGATGATCCGCGTGCGCTCCATGGGCGGCGGCGAGGGTGCGGCCAGCTGCTGGATGCCCTGCAGCAGGGTGCGCGCCTCCCGCTCCTCCGGCGGCGTATGCAACGGTATGTGGATGACGCCCTCCACGGGCTCATCGTAGTACCTGAGGCGGCTGTTGGGCCGCGAGCCGGCGGGCGTGCGACTCCGTCCGCCTGGCGCGGGCGGCGGCGGTGGCGGCGGCTCGGCGCTGTCGATGGGCGAGGAGCTCTTGGAGCTCTTGGTGCCATCGGTGCCGGCGCTGCTGCCCCGCTTGCCCGGCTTGAAGATGGCCAGCACCGACTTCTGCTTGCTGGGCGTCACGTTCTGGGAGCCGGGCGCCTGAGTCAGCGCCATCGCCGTCGATGGTCGCTCTTTGCTCTTGCTGCGCGACCGGGAAGACTCACGCGGCGAGTCGGGCGAATCCTTGCCCAGCCGGAACAGCGAGCTGAACGAGCTCTTGCGGGAGACTGAGGCGCCAGCCGGTGCTGCCGGCGAGGGCGAGCGACTGGTCAGCCGCATCGCATGCCGCGACGGCTTCGGACTGGCCGTCGGTGTCAGGCGGTGCTCGTCCAAGCCGCCGCCCTGCAGGCTCAGCGAGGCGGGCTTCGACTGCGACTGCGAGTGGCTGTGGGAGCTCTTCGAATAGACGGGCGTCAGCTGGTTGGGCGCCTCGACGACACGCTCGTTGGGCGCAATGCCCTTGTCGCTGTACATGTGATCCGGACGCAGATTGATGCGTATGTATTCCGTGCCGCTGGGCGTCTTGCCGACGACCATTTGCCCGGGACTCTTGGTGCTGCGTCGCTGAGCGCCCATTGCGCTGGAGCTGGCGCCGATGCTGGAGCTGGAACTGGGCTTCGCTGGGCCACTGCTGCTGCTGCTGCTGCTGGGCTTGCTCTCGCCATTGGCCAGCGTGGTGGGCTTGGCCCGGCGTGCCAATGTGCCCGGCGGCTGCATCTGCATCTGCATCTGGATGCCCTCGGCGAGCACCACCTGGGTGGGATCGTGTTTGGCCCGTGCCAACAGCAGCTGTTCCACGGCCAGTGTCGCCTCGCCCAAGCTCTGGGCGGAGCTGGGCGCCGTGGAGGCATTGCTGGCCCCGCTCACCACCCCATCGGCGCCCTCCACGGGCTTGGGGCCGCAGAACGATGTCTCCAGCAGCATGCGATGCGGCGATGGTGAGCGCGAGACGCAGGAGACGGCGGACAGACGGCTAACAGCCGAGCCCTGGCTGCCGACGCTCGAGATGCGGCTGGTGCGGCCCGAGATGCAGAGCAGCGCGGCCACCTCAGAGCTGGCCGAGTCCTTGCGCTGGTGCTGCTGCAGGTAGCTCTGGTGGTCATCGAACTTGAAGATGTGCGGCGACGACCGTTTGCCCTGCGAAACGAACAAAAAAGAAACAAGCTCAATACATTGCGCAATTAGCAGCAGGCACGAGTCACGAGGCACGCGCCACGAGGCACGAGGCACGAGAGTCATCAATCCGTTCTCTGGCAAACCAAAGACAATTCGACTGGGACAAATGCCACTCGAAGCGAGCACTGTCGATTCGGAGTCCTTGAGACAGCCCAAAAAAAAAAGCTAAACAGAGAAAAGAGTGGTTCATACTATGCGAGAGTGAGCGACTCAGCGATACCCTGTAGCGCGCTCTAGGCTAGCTATATTATGTACCTATGTAAGCTGTCTTTTGGAATCCCCAAATGAGAATTGACATAACGAGACATGGCCTTGTACAAAATAAATCAATTTATCATTACCGATATTTATCGATTTCTGTGTGTTAAGAGAACAACGAAATATGACTTTATTTCATTTAATTAATCATTTAAAATGAGAAATATTTAAATTAAGTAGTTTCCATTTTATCGAATATCAATTTATTGCGATCGATATTTATCGATTTTTGTAGATGCTTTACTGCTATGTAATTAACGAAGCATTGAAATTGGAAAAAACAATTAATTAATATTAATACTTATTGATTTATGAAAGGAATACTGAAACATAGCTGTATTCAGATAGTTTTACTAGAGATATACGATATATCAAACATCAACTATCCACTCTCGTTATTAATAGTTTTTCTATTATTTGTATTTGAAATAAGATTTCAGCTGTACTTAATATGTAACTGAAAATGCGGATTTTATAATCGATATTTATCCATATTTTTAGAGCCAATCAACCTCGTCGAACTATTAGACATTCATATATATTATATGTGTATAATTGATCTTGGATAATTTTGGAAATTTCTCTGAACATTGAGCTATTCGCAATATGTTATCGATAACTTTAAATGTAGCTAATATATGCTCACAGTAAACGAATTAAGTTTGAAACGTGGCTTTGAAGGACTAAGATGTCTGCAGCATTAAAAATTTAACAGAAAATACAATACTATATATAGAAAATCGATATTTATAAAGATACTTTTGGAATACGGCACAGCTATCGAAACGAAGCCAAACTCTTTGATCCGCCACATATTTATATGAAGCTATACCAAATACTGATTAGATTTGAAGCCATTCGAAATGCAGCTGACATATGCATGCCTTGCACTAGCTATATATCGGCTTAGATATGCCCAAATAACTGACAGGGTACCAAAATGCTTCGAAATGGAAGAGCATTGAACAAACAGCTATCACGCGTTAACCTGGAACACAATCTCTGACATTCATTCAATCGCATGTCAATTGCATTTCGACTTCCTTGATGGGTCGCTCTCAGCAATGTGTGTGTGAAGAGAGAGAAAGAGAGAGAGAGATGGACCAGATAAACAGAGCGGCATACCAATAGAGTGAGAGAGAGCGAGAGAGACTGAGAGCTGGGCGTCTGGCGGCGAAAAACATGCAAGCGAACTGATATAATTGCTGGGTTTGTGGACTCAATGGGTGATTGAAACTAGAAACATTGATACATGCAAAGCATCCACAGATAAAAAACAACAACAACAACGACAACAAAAGGAGAACACTTTAATCCGAAAAGCATTAATTAGTAACTGCAACGAGCTCCAATGTCAGCTGTGGATTGGATTTTAACATTTAATTAACATTGACAGTGACAAATCGAGAAGGGGCGACGGGCGGGCTGGTGCTTACGACTCACTTACCCCCCAATTAGGGCGTGGCAATGCATTGCAATGCATTAGCCGCGGATGGGGAGGGGGGTTGGGGCTCTGCATGTTTAACTAAACATTGAAGCCCATCCACCGTCGCACGCAAAGTTGGCCAAAATGTCAAGGCCGTCGGCTCGGTAAGCCATCAATTTTGTCCAGCCAACCGCATATCGAATGCCGTCGCTCTGTTACCAATAAACTTGTTAATTGTGCGACAGGTGAACGGTTTTGCGGTTGCCCCTAAACCGCAAAAGTTGTAGCTTAAAGTTGGTTCTAAAAATTTTATTATTCATTCAATGAACCTGGTTCATTATGGGCTCATGCTGCAATGACAACGGAACGAAGTAGACCTAATGGATTGATTGATTGAATGATTGACAAACTGAAACGAAACAGATAATACCAAAGTGAACGATTTTCAGCTCACAACTCGTTTATCCACCTCATTTAGTTATTCAATCAAACTTTTTCTTAGACAAGTTTATTACTATTGTATTGATATATTGGTATGGAATGAGTGATCCTACAAAATTTGAACATAGATATCTAAAATAAAAGTGAATGAATTACTGACTCATTTATAAGGCTTCGATATAGAAAACTTCCGAGAGATAGGGAGAGTGAAAGAGTCAAAGTGCTTCAGCTCTGTTTGCCTATAAAGAGGTTGCCTGTGTAAGACCTGCGAAGTTCCTAGCTCCTAACAAACTTATATATTTGAAAATTTAATAAATACAGTAGAGTCTCGTTAATTTATACTCCGCTAAATCGAAAATCGCAATGACTTGAAGAAATGCTATCCCCTTGAACAAAAAATTCGTTATTGATAATATTCGACAATTTCAATTTCTGTGTAAATAATAAAACATATGATCCCCTTACCATTTCGAATTACCTAGACTCGACTGTATAAATAAAATAAATCGTATTTATATAAACAGGATGCATTTCCTCCTTTTAATATCATGTCCCAGCTATATACTATTCAATAACAATTTATATACAAAGGTAGTCGTTATAGGACATATATAGTTTCATATCCTAACTCAATACTATCCTATAGCATTGCCAATTAATATACTACTGTGGGCAAAAAGTAAGGTGAATCTTAATTATTTACTTTGAAGGGGATGGAATTGATTTACAAGAATAAATGTAATTTTTTCATTTTACAAACAAATTCACCTTAATTTTTGTCCACAGTAGTAAAGGGAAACCCTGAGTAAGCTCTTATACTATACCTCTAGCAAAACAATCCGATATATTTGGCAATTCATATAAAGAGCCCCATATATCTATGTTCTTATCTTAAGTAGATGTCGTATAATATACTACTTATATCTTTGACAATTGTCTGTGTAAGCCTATATAGTGATATACCTTAAATCTGTACCATCCCACATATTTACCAACTCAATTATCCCTATATATGTCGAATCTTAACTAGATTCCCTATACTATACCAATAGCAAATCAATCCCATATTTTTTACAATATAGAGCTCCATGTATGTTATACCTTAACGGGACGTCGTATACTATACCAATACTATACAACTCATATAAAGATGCTGCCTGTGTAGCATAATTCTATCCTGTATCCTTGGCAATTTATTGATAGCAAACCAATCCTAACCATTCATACAAAGGATTTACCTGTGCTAACCTGAGCTCTATTCACTCCTATATGTGTGGCAATTCATCAATAGCAAATCAATTGCCACAAGGTTAGTTACTGCGCAAACAACTTTGCTTGACTACGACAACCACTTGCGGCTTGCCTCCTTTGCTATAGGGATTCATACATAGTACAACAAGGCTCGACCGCATTGAGTTTCAATTTAACAATGTCCTTATTCAATGAGTAAGGAAGAGCGAGCGAGGGGAGAGCAAAAATATCGCTCCTACAACTTGAACTGCAAATGCTGCGCTTAAAATGACTAAGTAATTAGTCTATAGTATTCGAAAGACTTAAAAGTTACTTTCAAGGGGCGAAAGTTCTGCGAAGGTGCCAAGGCAGGTGCAGCGGAAAGTACCGTCCCGACAGAAACTGTCGCTGCAGTCAGGGGAGAGACTTTAGTAGAGCAATTGTGCAACAGCTAAGATGATTGTAGAAGAGTCTGTGACTTTGGCGAAAGGGACGAGTGGAACATGGACAAATCCTTCATGAAAGGACATCACCTTGAAGTGCACGGCTTCAGCTGGAGCATATGGAATAACTTTACCTTAAACTTTAATGCGGGCTAACATCTAATACTCAGGTGGAAGGCAACCCGAAGGGGAGGAGGGAGGAGGAAGTAGGGAGGCAGGAGGCAAATACAAATACGATACATCCGAAGAAGCTGACTGAAGATGCTGTTCAAACTGAGACTTCTCCTAGCTCTACCCAAACTCGAATAGTTTCCAGAAATTGATATTTGATACTATTTGATTATTTTGCAGCGTTTCCCATTTGCTGTTTGCCCCGCGGCAAATATGACGCAATTGATTGAATTTCTTGCGTTATGCACTTATCTTAACTGTTACGCCATTAGCCTGGCCAGCAGCAGCTTCCTAACTACTTTCCGTCACTTTTCAATTGGTCTTTTACTTATTCAGTTGGCCAAGTTGTGGGCTTATGCGTTTTAGTAAACTTCTCAATTACAGTTGGCCGGTGGAGCTCGGTCCGTGTTCTAGTTGAGCGCTGACAACTTTGCTGGAGCCGCCAGCAAGCCGGAGGGGCGTGGCAGCTTCTGTTCTGTTCTGCTCTGTTCGGGCTGCCATCATTAATAAGTTTATAGCAGCGGCTGTGCCAGTTGGCGAAACAGTTTGATTTGATTATTTTCCCACATAAACTTTCGCTACCCCAACAAAGCAGCATCGCGAAAGAAATAAAGAAAAAAAAAAATAATACTACATTAACGGGCGGAAGTGTTGGCGTAGCCAGAGTTGCCACGTTGCTGCAATTTCAATGAGCTAGCCGACTGCCAATTGGCCGCTTTCCGTTTCCGCTCGCCGCTCGTGGCCACATGTTGTGTTCCCATCTCTCTCGCCATCTCCCTCCCACGCTGTCCCTCTCTCTCTTCTGGGTGTGCGAAACTTTTCTCGAAAAGAGCAGCCCGGAGCACTAATTAGAGCTTTTGTTAAAGTGTCACCTAGCAACGCGTGAGAGTGCATTTCCACAACAAAGCCATTCGAATTTTATTTATTTATAGCGGGCATTATTTATAAATTTAATTAAATTAATTACATTAAATTGTAATTTAGGAGACCTTCTATGGCGCTTTTAAAGTTTGGTTACATTTTAAATAATGTGAAATTCAATTCAAATTAAATTATTCACTCAGTGAATCATTTTGATTTTGAATATACTCAAAGTCTACTCGTATTACGTATATGAGAATTACTATTGGTTATTACCAATCCATTATTATTATATTCATTTGAATTTAGAATTTATTCGTTACGATTCATTATTGCTCGCTAATATTCGTTAATATTCTCAACTATTCATTCGTATCTCATATTATTGCTATATTTCTCTCTATTTATATTTGTCTTAGAAATTAACACAGGAAAACCTCTAGAGTAATACTGAATCAATGCTCCACATATAAATTCGATTATTCATATACAGTGCTTATCATAATTTTAGCCCACCCTGCAACTTAAACTTTGAGCCCGTTGTAACAAAATTTTTAAGGTTTTTTAAAAATAAATTTTACAGCACATTATAGACTGGAGCATGTTCAGTAGATTTGATCAAAATTTTAGTTCAATTTATGGAAAACTAAGAAAGAACCGTTAACTTTTGCTCTGTGCTAGCATTTTTGCTTGCATTTTTGTGTATCATAATTATAGCCCACTGTCGCAAATTTGAATTTATTAAGTGCGGAACAGACTTTTGGCTTTACAGACATTGTAATTAAGTAAATTTAGATAGTTTTTAAGAGATGCCGCTTGGAAAACAATTATCTTATTATGAAAAGGGCCGTATTTTCTCACTTTTCGAGTCAGGAGAGTCTATTTCGAGTATTTTACGAATTTTGAAAAAAAGTCTAAGTGTAATTAAAATTTTTTTGGATAACCCCGAAGAATAAGGATCAAGAAGACGTACTGGGTGAAAGCCGTTACTAATTGCGCACGATAAACGCAAAATTATTAAGAAAGCCAGCAACAACCCAACCGCTTGTATAGCTTTGGCCGCACATGTGGCCGAATCTATGTCAGCGATGACTGTTTGGCGAGTACTTAAGAGCTCAGGAATCATAAATAGGTCTAAACTGACCAAAGCATCCATGTTGCTNTATATTCATATATTCATATATTCATATATTCATGTATTCATATATTCATATGTTCATGTATTCATGCATTCATATAGTCATATATTCATATTCATGCATTCATATATTTATATTCACATTGATATCCGATTAGTTGAAACTAAAATCTATTTACAAGGCATTTGCTAGCCGTGCATGCCCGCCCGTATTGCACCTGCTTCCTTCTGCTGCTGTCAGCTGACGTTTTTTGCAAGTTTTTGCCCATCAAGAAACAGTCGCGCAGGTAAACTGCAGGTAAACGGGAGTTGTCAGTTGTCAGCTGTCAGTCAAGCGCATGCCACAGCAGTAGCCGCTGCTGCAATCGCTGCTGCACTCGCCAGGACATACTACTTGTCGCATCCTTCAGTTTGACAGGTTGTAATTTTAAATTATTAATTTAGCTGCTCTGCAGTCGCTTTGCCTTAGCCTTTGCCTTTGCCGCTAAATTTCCTGGAGGTAGCCACCTGCCGCCTTGAATTGCCACCTTGCCATTGAAAGTATTTCAATTTCCTTCATGTCAATTTTTACCTCACTTTATATAGTTTTTCCATGTTTTTCTTTTCTATTTTCTCTGTTTTTTATATTTTGTTACCCTGGCAACTCTGGCAATTGGCTGCAGCTTGCTGTGGCTGTGGTTTAAGCGGTTTTATGCAAGGGAAATGAAGTTAGCTTGAGCGAACATTTAAATAGTGCCAAAGCAGTTGAGCTTGCTCGACTTTTAGATACCCATTACAGTATTTTGAATAAGCTTTTATGTTCGATTGCATAGGAATTTATTGGGCTCAGTGATATGATTTTAAGTTTTGGTTGTGTTTATATTCAAATGGGGTACGATTTTTAATATTTGTCGACATAATATTCTAAAATTGTTGTCTTCAATTTTATAGAGTTTTCGAGTAGTTCCTCAGCAATTAGAATACGACCGAACTATAGAGTATCGCAAGGAAAAGTGTATAGAGCTTAATGGAGATTATGTTGAGAAATAAAAAATACTTTTCTTAAAATTTGTTATCTCTATGTTTGGTCGTATACTTCTGGGACCGTCCTCGTATATATACATATTTGAATATTCCCAATGGAATAATAGGCATAGCTTGATTCTCCAAGATATTTCATTTGGCATATAGATACTCTTCATATCACAAATACATCGATCTTACATTTCCGCAATTCTTTCTTTCTTTTCCTTTTTTAGGCACTGCGATCTTAATTATCGCTTCACATCACTTACCTGTTGCTGCTGTTGTTGTTGTTGTTGTTGCTGCTGCATGCGCTCCTGCTCCTCTTTCTTTTGCTCTGGATCCATAAAATAGAGCTCCTCGGTGGAGCTGCGCAGCTCCAAGGCGCCCTCCTCGCGGAAACCGAGACCAATTGTTTCCTGTAGGGTGCCAGTGCCGACCTTCATAGTATTAGTTAAACACGGTAACCACCCAATACACACACATAGACAGAGGCACATACACATACACAGACACACACACACGCACACACATAGGCATATACACACACGCGCACGCACACACACGCACATTCATTGAGCAAATTTTGTTTTGTATTTTTTTTTTTTTTTTCGCAAGTTAAGTTTAAGGGAAAAAGCATGCGGGGTTGAAGCAACAGAAGTAAAGGCAGAGAACAGACCAAGATAAATACGATAATCAAAAGGAAAAGACAAATAAACAAATCAACAGCCAATTTTTGTGCATTGCGATGGGCGGGTGTGCATCATTAAGAGTGTGTGTGTGTGCGTGTATATTTAGGTGTGTGTGTGTGTGTGTGTGTGCGATTGTTAATTAGTGTGCATGTGTGTGCACAGGTTGTGTGGACACAGGAAGTTGAGGAGAAAGAGAGTAGGGTGAGGGAAAAAGAGAAAGAGAGAGCGAGAGAACGAGAGAAAGAGAGAGAAAGAGAGAGATAAAGAAAGTCACACAAAAAGAGAGTCCGAAAGAAATGAAAAAACAAGAACAAAGTACAAATAATTAGCACAAAATGATTCTTTAAATGCGACGCCGACTGCGACGCCGACGTCGTGCTTTGTTTGAACTGTTAATATTGTGTTGGCTATACGTTAAACACCCTTGCAGAGGGCATTGCTTCTAACCCACATGTCTAACGGCTAACTAAAGCTGTAAGTGCAGAAAAATCTTCCTGTGGAGCCCGTATAAACTGATCTTTGACCTTAGCCAAGTTAATGGAAAATTGTTTGAAATATACATATATAGAATATCGATTCCGAAGTGATATATTGGATATATTGCTCATATAATATAATGAATAAAAATAATGATAATGATAAGACAGTCCTAACAATAATGGAATGCTAATGATAATATAATTTAAAGAATATATTCCAATGAAAATCGGTAAAATGAAAATAATAATGACACTTATCATAATGAATATTATGATTAATAAATATGAAAATCATAACAATAAAAATCAAAATGATAATGTATGTATAATGTAAAAATTATAATGTCAATAAAATTAATGATGATTACAGAAACTATAATGACAATAATGAAAATATTGAGAATGAAATCCTAATCATAATGAAATGTTAATCAAAATACAAATTAGAATTATAAATTTTAAGGATAATACAATGAAAATTTAGTTTAATACTGAAGTTGATAATTGTTGAATTAACCACAAATAATAAAATAAATCATAATGATAATGAGAGCTAAAATAATGAAAATCATAATGATAAGGATAATGTTGATATTGATAATGACGTTGCTGATTGTATTGATATTAATGATGATGATTGTGAGCATAATAATAATGAAATTGATTATATAATAATCATATTGTAGTAATACAAATAGTCTATGATACACAATAAAAATGAAGATGATAATGTTGTTCATGATGATAAAAGCACCTTTAATAATTTATTCAAATACGAATACTAATACTAAACGATTATCACTGTCTAATCTAACTCCAACTCTGAAATTCATATTTAAAGTAGAATCATTCTATAGCTTCTTCATCATCATCTTCTTCTTCTTCTTCTTGGTGGATCGCATACCACTTGAACTCACTAAAAGAGCTACAGCTTTAGCCAAAACTAATCTAAATGAAACCAAAAATATTAATCGGGTTGCTACGATTTTAATTAGCTGCAAGGGTATTAAAGCTTCGGCTGGCCAAAGTAATCTGGATTTGGTGGTTATATTTTGTTGTTGCTGTAGTTGTTGTATCTGTTGTCATTGTTGTTGGTGTATTGCTGTAGCTGTAGTGGCTGTGGCAGTGGCAGTGGTTGTGGCAGTGGCAGTGGCTGTTGCTGTTGGTGTGTTTAAACGACAGCGTCGCTGCTCTAAAAGCCAAGCTATCTAACCACTAAGCCGGTCTCGCTCCCGGGAGCAGAGGCTGTTGGCCAAATCCCATTCTTACCTGCTCGAACACGTTCTCGGGGCTGCTCTCGCGGCTATCCTCCTCGTGATGGGATGAGCTGGAGGCGCGGCTCAGCTCGATGCGTGGCGTTGATGGTGTGGTTAGTGTCGCTGCGCCACGATAGGTGGCGCCCGTGACCGCAGCCATGCCCTGGGGCAGCGGCAGCGGCTGGCCGCCCTCGTTGCTGCTGACGAGAGTCGTTGTGACCGTAGCCGTTGCCGTTTTAAGCGGCGGCGGACGTTGCTTGGCAACGATGGAGCTGACATTGGCGGAGCAGGTGGCGGTCGATGTGGATGATGAGGTGGATGTGGAGGAGCTGCTGCTGCTGCCAGCGTTGGACAGTGCGGCTGCTGCCAATATGCTTGGCGCTTCGCTGGGATTGGGATTCGGATTTGCATTTGGATTCGGATTTGGATTTGGGTTTGGATTTGCGTTGCGTGTTGTTGTTTGTTGTGTCGTTGTCGTTTGTTGTTTGCGCAGCGTTTGCTCCATCATCTGGAAGGGAATTCAAAGCTTTGGATTAAGTTACTGTGGAAAAATTATACCCAAAAGATATTCTAGACCACACACACACACACATATGTAAACACACACAGGTAGACAATCACATGTCAATCATATGCTTTGCAACACTGGCTGCCTCTGCGCCTCTGTTGCACTGGGAGCTGACATTCTCCCCAAGCGCCGAAGCCCCTAAACTCGAATCACAATTCATTTTATTTCCTCTATGGTTTTCATTGCATGCGATTTTAATTAATATCATCCATTTCGCTCCCGTTGACCATTTGTCAATGGCTCAACATACCACATGCCGCATGCCACACGAAACTGCCGCAGTCACCTGTCGTCCCAGATGTGTCAGCAAAGCTTTGTAATTGAATTTTCTTTGAATGCTTCGGGGCGTTTGAAATGAATTTTCAAAATGTTATTTTGCCTTTTACGACCCCATTCCTGACTCCAAATTAATTTATACTCGTTTCGCAGCAATCCCTGAGTACCCTATCGAGATATGTAAAGGCTCGAAGAGAGAATTCTTACTCTCATTAATTAGTTTTCCAATAATTTTTATTTTATTTAATTTCTTTCTTTTTTTTGGTTACTTAAGAGAGATCAATCTTCAATACAAGCTGAAAGTATTTCCTTTCCCCTTACGGTGTACCTTCTTGTGTAGGGTATATAACAAAATAAACAAGACTGTGTGAGCTGCAACGTGAGCTCCTAAAAATAAACGAGAGAAAAAGTTATCGCCAGCTACAGCAGCAAAGTTTTGCTCATCGTAATTGAATGCTGCACTTTTTAATGAAATACTATATCCTTGATACTTTCACCCACATATCCTTTACTTCTGCGTACTCTGTTGACGGGGGAGTAAAACGTATTTGCTTGAGTCAATTTCTATAGATTGCTTTGTGCGTCCCACGTACATTTCAATGCGATGCAATGAAAACATAAAAATTGTGACCGCGCAGCTTTAACTAGCATTAGGATGTTTTGCAATGTTTAGAAATTGCTTTAAGAAGATTTCAACAGTTTTTGGGAAAATGTTTCGGAAATGCTATTTCAGAGAGAGAGAGAGAGAGAGAGAGAGAGAGAGATCTTGATAGATAGAGAGAGAGAGAGAGAGAGAGAGAGAGAGAGAGAGAAAAAGAAAGAATCAAACAGAGACATAGATAAAGAGAAGCATACACAGACATAATATATAATAATATAATAATAGATAACGACCGAGATGGACACAAATATATGAATGTAGATAGAGAGATACGTATAGAGAAATAAAGACAAAGAGAAAAAGAGATGGAGAGACAGATAACGAGAGAGACGTAGAGAAGGAATGAGAGAAATATATGAGAAGAGACAAAATTATGCAGAGAATGAAGAATGTATGACAGAGATATAGAAAGAGGGAAGGTAATAGAAGGATTCTATCAAAGGAGCAGAGAGAGAGAGACAGACAGTTAATGAGAAATAGAGAGAAAGACAGAGAAAGATTGAGATAGAAGAGACATAGACATATAGAGATAGAGAAAAAAAGAGCCAAAGATAGAGGGAGATAAGGCAAAAACAAAGATAGAGAAAAAGGGAGTGAAATATATAGAGAGACTGAGATAGAGCAAGGTAACGAGAAAGAGTAAGGCAGTGAGAGAAACGGAGAGGAAGCAAAAATACTGGGAGAGAGAGAAAGAGGAAGAGACAGAAATAGGGGATCCAAAAAATTTAGGAGGAAGCAAGAGACTAAAGAAGAAGAGGAGTGAAAGACAGAGAGTCACAGAGAAATACAAAACCTTATAGAGATAGAAATATCGAAAGCGATATTGAGAGAGAGAGAGAGAGAAGTGATTGAAGTATAGGTAGATAAGGATGAGAGAGAGAGAGAGAGAGAAACAGAGAGAAAGAGAGAGAAAACAGAAAAAAGAAAAGTTCTCTTTTCAACTAACGGATATTATTCTGAAGTGACCGCAACATCATGAAATGCAGCATTAAGTCTTTTGCTCTTCGTTTAGTTTGCCCAATTAAATTACCTTAACCCCAATTTGTGGCTCTTTGCAACACTTTGATGCATTTAACGTGCAAAGTGACCATGAAGGAAGCGTGCATAGCACCTAAAACACTCTAATTAGATGAAATGAGTTGGCTCGACCTTGCCGAGCAAACTATTAGCATGTTTTGAGTTGAGTCCTTTTAACTCTGCTGCCAACCTCTTTAAGGCTAAGCAACCACTGTAGCCCAGTCCTAAATGCAATGTCAATGCAATTATCTAATTTAAACTTAGAAAAACCTTCTTGACGTCGTCTCAAAGCTGTGGTGCGCATTCATGAAATAGTTTAGAGCAGCAGCAGGGCGTCCTTTGATGACCCCTTCTCATAAATGCGACGCACATGGAGCCACACCAAATGCGCTCAAGGAGATGTCCTTACACACACACACACACACACACACACACACACACACACACACACACACACACACACACACACACACACACACACACCCACACACACAGACGCAGCAATCGCGCTTGTCACTAGAATGCGCTGATTGACACATGGCGCTTGGGAACTAGGGGCTGAAGCTAGGCCCCAGGAGTGAAGGCGTGAGCGGACTTTGAGGCGAAAGCATGCGTTTATTGTCTGAGAGAGAGAGAGAGAGAGAGAGGCAGAGACGGAAGGCGGGAGAAAAACAGAGAGAGAGAGAGAGAGAGAGGGACAGTGCCCTAGAGAAGGGGGCTCAGAGGGGGATGTGCATAAACCTTGGGTTTTTTTCACACACATTCATACACACGCGAAAATTAATTTGAAGCTGCTGCTGCTAAAAACTATGCAACGCTATTCACGTGCTTATGCTCTTACTCTCACACGCACACACTCATTCACTCACAGACACACACCCCACTCACTCTCTCTCTTTCTCTACACTCTCTACACACACACGTCAGGCCATGCCGCCACATGCCGCAGCGCATACATAAAAATTGTAATTAATTTGGATAAACAAGAACCGGCTTGGTAACGGAACATTGTTCGAATTGTTGTAAAAAAACTTTATTTTTGTAATATTTTATGGTATACAGAAAAGGACCCAAAAAAAAAATTTAGTACAAAAAATTTATATATAAAGATAAAGAAAGCGTTTTTTTTTTTTTTTTTAAATGGGGGCAGTCAAAAAGGCAGCGGCACATTTTTTTTTTTTTTTTTGGTAATATTGCATACCTTTCAGCGCTGGAAGCTGCGCTCTGCGTTCTACTCGCTGCTTGCTGCTCACGGCTCGTAAATGTGTTATCATATTAATTATAATTATAATTTTTAATAAAAGCGGCAGCACACACAAATATCTACATATATTGTAGATTTCATTTGTGTATATATTTTGTACAGMACACAGCATGCAGAGAGGCGCTGCCGTTGCCGCTGCTTCTGTCTCTGCCTCTGCCGATGCCGCTGTTTCTGTTTATTGTTAATGTTGTGTTCTCACACACACGCATATATACAGACGCGCATACACATGGCATCTTTGCCGTTATGTGTGCGCCTTGCTACTCACCCTGTGCCAAAACTTGCCGTTATTGCTCTCTTGCCCTGCGTGTTAGTGTATTGTATTATGATTTTCTTTTTTGTTAGTTGCTTCCAGCTCCTTTACTTGTCCTTATTAATTTTTTATTAATTTCTCTTGCCTCAGCTTTGCACCGACAAAAAAAAGCAACCGAAAAAAATGAGTATAGCCAGCGGCGCTGCAAGGCGCAAGGGAAGCGCAAAGTCAAAATTTTTGGTTCACTTTTGCTCGTTGCTGGCTGTGTGTTTGCTTTTGGTTTGTTCGTACGCGCGCGCTCAGAACTCCGCACACTTCACACTCCGCACATGCTCGCTCCCTCACGCTCTATCGGTATTTACTTCGCTCGCTCCGCTTATGCCATTAGACTGCACGCACGCAGCGCCAGCATCGTACTGGGCCACAGCCAAAAAGCTTGCTATGCCGTCTACGACTTGTGCCCGGCAGCGTTCAAAGCAGAGTTTTAAAAAGCTTCCAACGCTGCTAAAAGCTGCACAGCAGGCGTTTTTGCAAAAGCTTTCGAAAGTGGCAATGCACGCTCAGCTGGCTAAGCTTCGGATACAGCACTGCGCAGACAAATAGAAAGGACAGATTTTAAGAGATTTATTTCTTAAAGCATCCATTTGATTTGCTAAGTGCTCTTAAAATAATTAATAACATATAAATTTATGAATGATATAAGAGGTAAATATATTGATAGTCGTTGAATAGGAAAAATATATATTCAACTTTTTTTCAGCCCACAATTACTATTGTCCTTCAGAATTACATATATGATTTTATACGTGTGCTGTGCACTGTGGCAACGACCACTTGCCTCACTCTCACACTTGCTCATTCTCTTCTTTGCTCTATCCCAGTCCACCGCAGTGGGCCAATGTTTTTGCATGTTAAATTTTTTGGCTGTGCTTCCTTACACATACACATATACATGCATACACACTTGCACACGCACGTGCGCATGTTTGCTTTAGAGGCTGTTTCCAATTTCTGCTCTCAATCTTTGTCCATTGTTAAATGACATTATTTGGAGCACTTCACATTTGATTTGGCGCGTGTCAAAATATTTTCGCAATTGTGCCTGTTCAACTGTACTCCGCTGCTCACTGCCTATGCCTTGTTTGACAGTTGTTGTTTCTGTCGCACTTGTTGTTGCTGTTGTCGGTCCTTTTGCTGACTTTGGCCTGAGCTGCTCTCTGCTCTTTGTTGTTGTTGTTGATGATATATATAGATTTGTGGGCAACACTTAAGCTCTGTTTTGTTTATTGACCTAAAGCGTTTTGTTCGTCTGCCTTTAAGTGGCCATTTGCATGTTTTTGGCATTCACCCAGAGCCCAGAGACTACAGCACATTCACCCGGCCATGAAAGACATTATCCCCACTTCCTATTACATTCCCCCCCTCCACTGCCCTTTTTCCAAAAAGTTAATTTTGTGTTTGTAATAATTAATTTTTGAAACGGTTCATAAATATTATTTATACGTTCGATATATATTTATATATAGTTATGCATGTGTACTTAAACTCGGCATATACGAAACTTACCGTTATTCGCTTTTGCTGTTGCGTTGCAGTTGTTGTTGCTGCAGCTGTTGCTATTGTTGCAACCGTCGCAGTTGTTGCTGTTGTTGCCATCGTGGTATTGTCCTCAAATGACTTTTCGAACGATGCAATTGGCGCTGGGCCAAGTCGCTTCTGTCGGCGTGCATCCATCCCGGTTCAGCCTGCACAACTAGGACTCACACCAGCACACATACATGTACATGGACACAAACTTTCGTCCTGCAGGCTTTCAACTGAAATGACAGAGAAGGAGATAGAGGCCATTAGTGTCAGAGAGAGAGGGAGAGACAATAAGAGAGTGCTAGCCAAACGGGCGGAGGGGAAACGTCTATTGGCACGCTTCTTTTTCTTGGCTATTCATAATTGCCACAGGCAACAATAAATGCAGCTACAGAGGCGACTTAGATACATATTGATCGACGAGGAGATTACCTGTACTTTAAGAGTTTTAGTTATGCATGAATATCAAATGTGAATGTAAATACAATCAAATTCGATTAGCAATATTAGATGATATGATTACGATATAAAACTGACTTGTTATAGTTGTATATAGATGTATATAATATATGCACACAAATCTCGGATATATACAGAATTGGTAATGCAAAGCACTTTATTGAGGTCAAATAACTGTTCCTAGTTGCGCATATCCACTTTAAATCATACTAGTTGCAGGGTATTCACAAATACAATAACTTAGTTATGTACATGCCATCAATCACTGGGGAATATATACATATGTATATAGAGGAAAAATATATAGAAAAATGGAGCATACAACGGAGCTTGCAATGGCAGCAAATTATTGGCTTCATAAACGTAGCCGGACAAATCGTGCCTGAAGTTCATTGAACTAGTTGAAATAAATATATCAACAGCAGCAACAGCAACAGCAGTCATAATATTAATAATAATAATACTAATAATTACTGCAACAGCAGCGAGTGCAGCGCAGCAAAGCATATTTAATGCATTTTAATTACTATTTAATCAGTGTCTAATTAGAGAAAGCTTTTAATAGAATTACCAAGAAGACAATTGAGTTGAGTGTGGTTCTAGGTTAGTCAGAGACCAAATTCCCTAACAATATGTATATATCGATATTTTATGTATAAGATATGCTATAGTAGCATGATATGGACGGAATTGCCTTAAGCTGGACAAACCCGCATTGCTCTATATGTATGTCTGATATACTTAAGATTTCAATTCTATAGCACTTCAGCTACTATGGTTTCTGCGATGCCGGAAAATGCATTTTTTGCTCTGCTACTGGGAAAATTTTCATACTTTATAATTCGTAGGTAGGGGTGGTACTCTAGTCGAAATGATTTGAGTTCATACAGACAGACGGACAGACATAGCACAAAACCAATATACTCAATTCAGTTTAGTGAATGAGTACAAAAATATGCGTAAAATATAATAGGGGTGAAACTAGGTTCTTATAAAATATATAATAATGCAAACTACAATATACTATAATTCAAACTACAAAAAATCGATAACTGCTCCCTTTTGTTATCGTTTAAATATTTGATCGAAAATTGGTTATAAGATTGAAAGCTAGAGTTCAAATTTTAAATATACATAGTATCATATATATTCTACAAAAAATCTGTTTATTTTTTTCAATAGTAAATTAATTTTTCTTTCTAAAAAAAAAGATTTAATTATTGCCAACAATATGTTAATTATGATATTCAACTCAAAGTGTTTTAAAAATATTTTGCTTATCGCCAAAATTTGTTGCCCAATTTTTATATGAAAATTGCAGTACGACTGAGCAATAAAGTGTGAATAGCAAATTTACATTTATATTTATATAC